AATTAATTTTAAAATTAAACCTGTTCTTTAATCTAAAGTTGATTTGTATAATGTCGATTGAATGAAGAAAGAGAAAGAAGAAAAAAAGAACAAGTTAAAGGTCATATATAGGCTTTGTCAGTCTCTTACAAAATAAAGCAATTTAGCTTTAAAGGGAATTTCTAGATATCTTGTTTCCTAAGTTTACGTACGAATTGGCGTATTGACATTTCCCCTGACGTTTTGGATGACTGATTTCAATGTTGATTTCGAGGCAAATGTCTGACCCTGAGGGATATGTGGGTGGATGAAACTTGTGTCAGTCACATGGTTTGATGTGATCTTTATAGGTAACCAAGATATTGATACTAAAGGAAAATTATGCATTGTTATAAAGATTCCGTCGCTTTTGATAGATCAAATACCTTAAGAATGTACTCGTCTGATGTTTGAGGTAAGACATGATTCAACATGAGATTAATTCCAGCATAATATCGTAGACTTTTGTGGTTTTACATACATGTAAAGACGTATTTATAAAACAATTGATTTCACTAGTATAAGAAATCTTGCTCATGGACTACATTTTTGACAGCGCAGTTGATCACGTGAATCAATTATTAGCATCAAGAATTTCAACGTTTCTGGTTGCGTAGGTACTTTTCTTGAGTATAATCTGGAAGTCTTGGTTTCAACTAAAAGTGCATGAATTATCACCACAAATCACTTATTTCAAGTCCGTGAATTCGAAATTGGTGTCCACTTTCCGGATTATTAGGTCCAGAAAACAAATATTTCAGCTGTTTTCATGATCTTGGAAAAACTGGTTACTTGGGTGAAACTTGCAAAAAAAAACTCAGAGACTCATTCTTTTTTAATAATGAAAATTATCCTCGAAAATTTCTCTGTCAAAACTTATAGTCAAATGAAAACTTTCACGATATCCAAGAATCATATCCTTACATTGAGATGAAAGCTGAAATTTGTTTTTGTAAAAGTTGACACGGAAATAACAGAGGATGTCTGTTATTCAGGGAAAAAAAGTTACATAAGGAAATGAATTACTTCATGTTATATATTTTCTGGGTTTTTGTTTTCAATTTACTTCTAATATCCAACCTCTCAGAACCAAATCATAAGGAACAGATTAAATTTCTTTTTTTCAATTCTCAGAGGAGTATATTCTTAAGGTTATCAGATTGTACAAAAGGCACGCAAGTGTGTGAACTTGTTGGTCATAGACTTCGCATCAGGTGAATATTATAGCAGCAGTTCAACTCTAGGGGTATGTATTGAAACCTGCTAAGTTCTATCTAAAAGTGATCTAGTGTATGTTTCTAGCGATTACTCAACCAACGGCTATGATGTAGAGTTGGTGTTTCTACAGCACACTCCATTTACGGTTGAAGATAGAAGATATGACTAGTTATGTTCAAAATGTATTTCAGCAAGCATGATTGAAAGAAATCAAAGCTGTTAAATTTGATAAGCTATATTTCAACTCGTTTTTACCTGAAAAGTTGCCGATATTGATGACATTGTCCTTTAACGTTACGTATTCAAAAAATTATAGACATTTACGACAATACAAGAGAGCCCTGATAGGTACAACCTGCCACTCCTTTTAGGCGAACTACACGTTCATGTATATACAAGACGGTGGACTGAGTCAAGCTGCTCGATAATATCTAAGGTGTACTTATTAAGGTCATTATTGGGTCCTTTCGTAACAAAAACTTCCTAAAATAGTCCTTATTTTTGTATAAATTCTGATTATATTTCTTTATTTGTCCATATTTAAATGTAAGAACGACAAAGATATGCTAGTTAATCAAAGACAATAATATCTTTATTGTTGTGAAAATAATTAAGAGTTCATAGGAGAACAAATTAATGTGATTCGAAAATCAATACCAGGTACCGAGCGAGCCTTTTATTGTGGAAAGGTGTGGAAAGTATCGTTGTTCGATAATACGCTAACGCAACGTATATCTGGACACAATAGATGACCACAGGTCAATTTCAATAAATATTGTTGGCGTGTTATTTAATGAGAGATCAATTAAGATATTCAAAGCCATATATTAATTACCGCCTATTAGTTATGACCAACTGTTAGTACCACCTGTAAATAACAGCCCGTGATCTTCTGTTATCTATCCTTAACCAGCAACAAATTATAACTTCGATTTTTCATTACAGTAACCTGACTGTAATAAGCACTTATCTATACCTACCGCCTGTTTATAATGACCATCAGTATGTAACAATTCTTCGAGAGATTCAGGTGGATCCGTTATACATGATTTTATTTCTTCTTTCTGATTTTTTCTTTAGTTTATAATTTGTCCTCGGTATTTTAAAGTTTGTGTTGATTTTGTTTTGTTTGTTTTTCTTTTTCATTATTTTCAACTATCTACATGTTTGAGAACAGTGTCTGTACTACCAACTGTTTATCAATACCGTTTGTCTACATCCAACATCGACCGCTATCATCTGGCTGTGACCACACCTGGTTAATTTCACCTTCAACCTGTCGATACAAGTCACTTGTAGTTACCAAATCCTTCCTTAACAAGCCACTAAAGACAGATGCGGCGATAATTTATAAATCTATTTAACATCGAGATAATATTCCGTGATAGGAAATCGTTATAGACATATACGGCACAAATATCGACTTTATAGTTATGTCCACACAGACAGCGTGTTCACAAGTGTGACCTGTGACCATCAGTACAATAATGCCAACATATGACGTCATTGTCAAGTTAGTGGCAATCGTAACTCGGTACCCAGGTGGTGCGATTGGACAGATTAAAGTGGAATCTGCCCTATAATATGGTGTTCCAGGCTTGTTGTATCTATTACATATGTTAACCACTGTCTTTGGATGATGAATGTGGCCAGGATAAACCATGTCTCATGTTGTAATGGATTTTAGGACCATGTAAACGGTAAGGATGTTCCTACCACTTTCTTGAGTAAGATTGTATCAATATCTCTAACTATACACGTACTTTAAGTTCTTTTGAAATCATTCAATTTTGAAAACTATCAAAAGAATTCCCTATTTGTATTTGGGTTAAAGTGCCTACCCATCTTGGTTTATTCAATTCGAATAAACTGCATTTTCGCCTACAAGGTTTCAACAATGTCGGCTCTTTTCTTTACCACGGACGAATCATTGTTGGACAAAACATTTTATTTTGGGGTAACAGTGTCTAACTTTTACGTGTCTTTTACGCAAACCTTATCGATATATAATTGTGAATCAATCTCGTTCGATGATTGCAAAATACCGTTTACACTATGACAAATAATTAAGCATATATAGTTGGAAATGGAGCGTGCTATTTTTTAAGCATACTGCCAATGTTATTCTCAATCTAGATTAACTTTTGGAAAAGAAATACTTTCTAAATCTCACTCAAAATCTACTTGACGTACTTGTTTTTAGTTTCCGTGTAATTTTTTTTCATATTTTGTCTTGTTTTATCGGAAGTTGGTTGGATTTAATGGAATTAAGTTTCTTTTGACAGTAATTCGTTGTTTAGTCTTGTGTAAATTTGGAAATAAGTGTAATTCTAAATAACTGACAGTCTTGGTAGATGAAACCACAACCCTAGGAGAACATATGATATGTCATTCTGATGGACTGAAAACACATATTGAAATTGAACATCATTTTGGTTTGATGAAGCTGCCGACACAATTGAATTAACCAAAGGAAAATTATGTTTAAATGATATTGATATAGGCAGTGCAGCGGCAAATTGAGACATGTGAGGATGGGGTGCTGATCGAGAGATTTGAGCAAATCAGAACTTAACCGTAAAAAAATCATATTTTTATTAAAAGCAAATTGCAGATAAGCTTATGAACCGATTGCCATGATTTTTCGTTGTCAAAAGCCCGCCTTCGGTATTTTACGCTTGTATTTAAATATATGGTTCATCTTTATAGATTGATATATCATGCAGAGGTATACACTTAATGTATAATGCAGGTTAATTCATTAATTTCCAATATTGTAACCAATTTTTATTTGTATTGAAAGGTTTTGTGCAGTCCTTTACCTATGAGACGTATGGAGTTTTTCGGTGTTATTGAATTTTGAAGGGTTGTTTCCAAGAGTTTTCATATCGTCAGGTATTTGTTGACAATGATTGGCGACCAAAGATAAGCAATCGCTGACTTGCTGCCTACAATACCAATACATGTTACATGTCTGTCCAATACCACAATTCAATTCCGAGATATTGAGCGGGTACTGTTCAATGTTTGAAAAATATGGAAAGAGGTTAGTTCTTTATTTTTTAAATGTCATAACTCTGGATTTTAATCAAATATGAACTTCAACTTCATGTTCTAACGCACTATTAATAATTCAATGTCCCTAATCATGAAAGAATGGCAGAAGGATGGCAATTTTTTAAAAAAGTACAAGGATAATGCGACTGATGATCCAGAAAGAAAAGCGTCTTCTGCTTCATCGACGCCTGCAAACATGTATGTGGAGGTCAATCAGAGTAATGTAAAGTTCTCAATCTGAGACCATGGCAATTTCATGCGATGTTTCCAGTCAATGATTTCTTTATTGGTCTCCAAGGCTTAACTTTTAAATTTTAAATTTGTATAAAATTTTGCTATTTACTTGTGTATCTTTTATACAATGATCGAGATTGCAATTGGTAGACACTGCTGGTGGACTATTAGGCCTCGAGGTTTTCCGTAACTTACACGCCACGTTTAAATTTATTCGAAATAACGACGACCTCGGGAATATACATAATGAACTGTACCATGAAACAACTTCAATACAAACCACGAAAAGATCAACAACCGGTTGTTCCTTGAGAAAATCACTAAATAGACCAATGGAACATCAACAACCGGTTGTTCCTTGAGAAAATTTCTATTCAAACCTCGAAAACCTAGTCAAACAAAAAGATATGTATTTTTGTTATCTTAATCCTCTAACTTCAATGTCTTTGATTGTGTTACAGGCCAGACAAAGAATGGCACCAGTGACCCTTATTATTCTGTTTTCGTTAGCTACGTTGATATACGGGAGCAACCAACGGATGTGTGGGGAGCAGCTAGCCGATACATTAAGTCTAGTATGTAATGGGGCATTCAACAAACGGTCAGGTAAGATTATTTACACTGTGTGTTACTTTATATATGTTGCTGTTTTACCTTGTTATCATTTAGGAACGTGACATTACTATCTAAGATTGACCAAAATTTACATTACGGGTGTCATCGACGACGTAGAAGACACATACACTTCCGGAACACCCGGTCTTATTCTCTTTGCATTTTTCAAGTATTGGTGTAAATCTCTCTCTTGTTCATATGTTGCCCTGGATTCATCGAATTTTAGTTTGGATTAATATTTTGTTATGAAGATCCGTCATTGTGATAACTGAACACGCGCTATCACTCAAATTAATACAATAATCAGACCGCATTTAAAATATTCCTCTTTTTGTTTTAGGTTTAGAACATGTAAATGGAGACGAGACGTCGTCAGGTGTATCAAAGCGTTCGACTGACAGAGGTGTCGTGGAAGAGTGTTGTTTCAGAGATGAGGGCTGCACTCTGGCAACACTACAGAGCTATTGTGCGGAACCTGTTTTTTATGACTACTCAGAAGAAATTGGAACTACAGTAGATATGCAGGTAAGTATAAACTTCAGATTTGTAATCACCAAGCTATAACATGATTACCGTAGTATACAACAAATAAACCCATATGTTTTTTTTTTTTTTTTTTTTTTTTCAATTTAAACTTATATCATATATTGCGAGGATGATATGAAACAACATTACACACTCGCAGACTATTATATTATGACACCACAATTGATGAAATATTCAGAAATCAGATGACTTAAATAATGGCATTGAAGATATAATTTTCTACAATGTTTATAAAAATAGATCAAGGGGGAAATGATTAAGAAATCAATTTCATTTTACATAAGATTTACAAAACATTATTTTTTACACATTAGTTCGTCAGAAAATGTGAACGTCAAAATGACTTATTTTTAATTTTAGCTAACAAAGAGAAAAAAGTTAGCATTTTTTCTTGGCGAACACCTGTAAATGAATGATAACCAAATGACAGCTTTTGCAATATAAAAAATGCACATATTCCGGATTTCTAAATGGTTTGCTGAAACAGAGAAAGATTAAACAAAAACACATAACTTTAAAGCACCTTTACAGATAGAGTTGAGCCAAACAATAAATTCAACTGCATCATCTTTCGTCTTTTGTCTGATCAGTCAGTGATTCTAAGGGTCTGAATTTTGATACCTTAGAGGAAAATCCAGTGATCGAAAGAAAAATCAAAATCTAGATATGGAGGTGCACTAGATACATAATTCAATAAATTTCATTATTTTCACTTATCAAATCATTTTATAATTCCAAGTGCATGTGTGTATTCTGAACCATGCCACTATTCGAATGAATTTAAACTTTAGATACACATTACGGCCAACCTCGTGGGGCAAAAGTCCACCAGCAGTGTATTTATTTTCGTGGTTTTATATATATTTATACATAACGAACCCTTTATATGTATGTCAACCAGTATGAAAATGAAAAAGACTGTACAGAAATAGAACCTTTAGAAATAGATACCGTAGGGCCAAGTGATAAACCGAACTGCATCATGCAGCTAATTCACCCTTTTAGGACTCATCAGTGATACCAAGGACCAAAACTTGGATACCGCAGAGGCGACTGAAAAATTCAAAATTGATCGATGGGAAGGTGTACCTGCCCCATTATAATTATAATCCGTAATTGCATTATTTTATTAGAAAATGTAGGATCAGCTTTTCTTTTCTCAGGTTACTGAAGCACCAACTGTCCAACAAGTACAGACAGAGGCTGTTCTGACCACAACCCCTTCGACATCCCAACTTAGTGCCAGAGGACAAGCAATTGCATCTCGCTTCCTTCAGATATTTCGTTCTGGTGCCAGAAGTCGTGGCAATAGCAGCAATCGCCGTCCATACTGGTTCTTTTTGCCGGGTCTGCAGCTCGGTCAGCGAGCAACACGTAGACCGTACACAGTCAATACTCGCTAAGATGAATAGATGGACGGTTGAGATGTATATATCTCTTAGTTCGCCTTTATTGTGTGAGGCGCGAACATGACATTTGGAGTAAGTCGTTCAAAACGAATATTTTAGGGATGACAGATGGAAATTTGCATTGTGATAAGAAGAGAGGTGATACATATTTATGGAGATATATGAGGACTTGTGTACTCGGAATGCGTGTTACATGTAATGGCAACTATGTACAAACAATGTTTGTCACGAAACGTGTATGTTGATTTGTGGGAAAACGATTTATTGGGGAAGTCTTTGTTTTTAATTTAGATTCAGAATTGCGTGTAAGATGTTCTTAATACTTATAAGCTGATTTTCATAAGGTTCTATTTTTCCAAATGCATTTGATTTTCCTTATATTATTATGTGCACAATCAGGACAGGTCCCGACGAAATGGAACGATTCGCAAATACTGCCATGCTTATTTAACAATTAACTAGTTCAGAATGTAGAGTAATAGGAATAGCATGACACTATGGATATAACAGGATAGCAGATAAGGACAGACATAAGTCTACTTCCCTTTATATGTAAGGACGCTAGTGCAGCATTAAGAACACATCATCAACGCTTGGATTATTATTTCATTGATAGATACTGCAAAAATTCTTTTTGCGATAGAATTACTTAAAGCTCTTTCCGAGAATTTGATAAAATCGGGAAAATACATACCTTGAAAATAAAATGTATAGCAAAAACTGTGAATATTTGAAATACATGACACAACATTTACAATACATAGTTGATAGTTACGGCCGATTTACATAAATTTGATGTAGTTGATGTTGTAAGTTGATGTAGTTTCACTTCTTTCACTTCTCAATCTTACCAATATGATAAAACATACTTTCTATATAAATACTGATTTATCAATTATTAATCATTTTTTTATTCAACAAAATGTATTTTCCCCTTAAGAAGTCGACGTATTTGTGTTGGTACACTCTTACGAAAATTGCGACATTAGGCTATTGTGTTGGAAAAAATGTGAAAACAGATATTGCAAAATAATCAATATTTAATTTTCAATTACTTTTTAAAATCTAACCTAACAAAAAATCATCTCCAGAACAAAAAGTTAATCTTCGTCTCATTTTTCTCGTAAATCAATTGTTGAAGGGGATTTCTCTTAATTATCTCGCGAAAAGTTATTTTATGCGGTATTAAATATTTTGTTGTAGTGAAAAGTGATATTTAAAAAAGTGAATACCATAGCTTACCTTCAGTTTTAAATATACAGTAGAACCTCATTATATATAAACCCAAATATACTTTTGGAAAAGAAAAATTCGGTGTAAATAAGTTTGAAGACTCGAAAAAGAGAAATGCATATTTGAATGAAAATATGTCAAAGCTTTGATGTTTAGAAATGAATGTGTTATAATCATGATTCACATTTAATTAAAACTATTTTAATATTCTCATTCTCATTAAAACGATTAAATGCGGCATTTGATGATCTCGTTCTTAATTCTGCCTGTTCATAAATATTCTTTGAGAAACAAAATAGAACAAAGTACCAGAGATTGTAGAAAAAAGTGGCTTTAAGTGAAAGATAACGATAAAAGTGCACTGGTGTTCCACCTGCTTTATTTCTTAATGACACATTTCTTCATGTTTTGAATTTCATTGATTTTTCCAGTAGGTTCTCTTGTCCAACTCTAGGGCTTGATACAGTTATCATAATTTTAGACAAGAGTCGGCAACTAATACGAAAGTCACAACACAGGGGTTCGAGAGATGCAGGTGCGTGAAAATGAAAGTTTACGGCCGTCATAATGATCTCATTAGGAATTATATTTCCTTATGTGATAAAAAGTGAATGGTGCTCGTTAGTATACCTGTTGTATCAGTTGTTAACCTTGTTCTCATTTGGAAACGTGGCATTACTTACAATAATTGACTAAGATTTACATGGCGGATGTCGTCGATGAAGTAGAGGACGCTTACTCTTCCGGGATACTTTGTCTTAATTTCCTTATACTTTTACATGATTATCCGTGTAATTTTACCTCTTGGTCATATTTTGCTTTAAGTTCTGAATTATGATGCTGTTGACATGTTGCTACTTTCTGTATTATTTCCAAAATCGTTTATGATAAGCGTTCTTGTGATGCCAGGAACACAAGCAATTGTCTTATAACGACGACAGAAATACAGAATCTTCGTCTTAAACACGTATACCTTGTGTTTCTCAATTTTGCCAGTACTTAATCTAAAGCTTTCGCTGATTTTTGTTATCTTCTTTATTGTCACGTTCTGGTACGTCATTATCAATTATCACATCACACAAACTCGAACGGTTCATTAACACATGCTCCACAAATATCTGAAAAAGATTAAGGGGTCTCACAGTTTCGCAATTCTTATTTGTTCACCCTAAGGTATATTTAGGGTAATAAAGGTCATCTTGGAAATTATAGATATGTATTAATTTGACGTAATTTCATCATACGTATTTCGTTGTTAAATACTACAATTTTGAACTTGGCCTCAATCCAGAACAAATTGAAATGATTCTCCTATTTATCATTGCAAAACACATCGATTACCAAAATAACATAATGATTTTATAGCTAACATGCATTCTATATTTACCCCCGAATTATTCATCATGTCTTTATCTTTCGTAATGAAATTCATTTTTGAAACCCTTTGACGAACCATAAAGCAAAGTATCTAAAAGTATAGAACAGCTCAGTAAAAATTACTTAATAATACAAATTAGAAAGTTACATCACTGATATTTTTCCTATTCTATTATCTAACTGAATCATTATCTCACGTAATATGCTAATTTTAATACCACCCACCTGTTGTAAGCAAACTCTGCCCTGCTCTGATTCGATATAAAGTTATCTCTCATTTCCGATGTTCTTTTAAGCAAAGATACTTTCATAGCATGCGATCCTCTTAAAGGTAAACTCTACTGGTTTACCTTAAGAGTGACCTTCATCATAAATTGCCTTACCATACACCTACAAAAAGCCACATCAATTTGTGTCAATTCATTTTCATCTGAATATTATGATAGTTTCAACAAGTCAACAATGCTTATATTGATCGTTAACTCTTTGTCATTTCCATCATCTATACCTTTGTAGTTTTGACTACGGTGGACTTCATTCTAATCATTTTCTATCCTCTTGCTTCTACACTAGACATAATATATAGAACAGTGTCTGTAGCAATATCCGTTAATATTTCGGAATACTAGTACTTGAACCAAAAGAAAATCGAGTTTATGACTTTTAAACCATTGATATATCTTCTTTCTTCAGTAACATATAAATAAATGTTATTAAATTTGATGTTTTACTTTGTTATCATGTATTTGTTGATACATCGGAAAGACTAAATATTCCGTAAACAGGCGTCGTGCATGTAATAAAGGAATTCTGTATAATTTTACTTGTTAATTGTACTTCAAAAGTGAAAGTTGAACAACTGATAAAAATCTTAGAGAAATATTCCTATAGTCTAATTATTTTGACCTTGTGAATTGATGGTAGTTATTCTTTTTGGAGCTAGGTTTAAAATCAAATTCATATTATCCATTCGAATAACTGTTGATTATTAACCAAATACGATAATATAAATATTCTTTTTCTGGAGGGATAATATGGGAGAGAAAAAATGCTGAAGATGTATAACGAGAATTATTCGCTCCTTTTCAAGTTAACACACGGGAAAAAATACCAACTACAAAGTAGCATCTATAGATATGTAATCTAAAGACTGTATTCCTTGTTTACTCATTAGAAAACACAGACACTGTCATTTTCTAAATCAGAGATGTATGATACTGAATTTTAAAGTCAGAGCCAGGCAATCTGTTCCCTCAATATATTTGATATTTTGAATCTATAAAGGGGTCAGATAAGGTCACCCTGCTGTTTGATTGATTAGGTGTTCATTGATTAAAATTGCCATGAGCTGACAATGCAAATATATGCTCACTTACACAGATGGTGCGCTCTTCTGGTAACTGATACAGCACTCTCTCAACGGCCAGGTAATTCAACACGTCAGTATAAAACTGACGTGGTCAACCAAACATCTGTTCTGGAAGGCGAAGGCTGATAGTATTGTCCCTTCAGAGTCCTTCTAGAATCATTCAAGTGTAAATATTACTGTATAATACAAAATAGAGTTATCCTAACCTTTACCATCAAATATGGTACCTTAAATATCGTTTTACTGTTAAAGGGAAAATAATGGCGATGGCTACCTCGATCGACACTTTTGATATTCTACAGTCTCCTGGTTTATGGTGTCAAAGTTTCACGAATAACCCATCATTATTCTCTTATTTTGGATCTGAAAATTTGGTAGACATGATTACAAAATAGTTAGGATATACATGTAAAAAAATAACACCACTTTTTAATCCTTCACCAGACTTTCAAATGGTAAAGTTTTCAAACAAAATAAGGATCATTACTAAAAAGTGTATATTCAAAAGACAATTTCACGATCACAAACATTCATTTAAAAACAAATCAGCATACCTTGTTATACAAAAACTGTAAACAGAAATGTTTGTTATGTTTCATTTTAGAACAGAATCAATAAAATAACCCAGTAAAACCATTTTAATTCACAATTACGAGGCAACAGATCAGAAAGACGGCAAAAGTGAGAAATACAGGACACATGCATTTTAAGACAAGCTTGTAAATACTGTAGCAGCTCTAAATACAAAGCAGTACTCTACATATATCTTGTATGTAGAAATTAAACTGCCTCGATAGCTGTTTTGTCATTTAAAGGTTCATCATTGATAACAGGGAACAAAAACTAAGGGAATCTAGAAGACATGTAAGGGAAGATAAAATCGGCGAAGTCAATTGTGACGATACTGCACTTTACTCTGTACTACAATCCATTTCGTAATGGTTCAAAGCTGGATTATTTAAAAAAGAAAAAGAAAAACAACACCAAATGCATATATATAATCTGACCTGTGTTA